ATCTGCAAATAGTGACAGTTCGACTTCTTTGTTTCCTATTTGGATGCCTTTTATTTCTTTCTCTTGCCTGACGACACTCGCTAGGACCTCCAATGTTATATTGAATAACAGTGGTGATAGTGGACAGCCTTGCCTTGTTCCTGATCTTGGAAGGTTTTTAGTTTTTCACCATTAAGTATAATGTTGGCTGAGGGTTTGTCATATATGGCCTTTATTATGTTAAGGTACTTTCCTTCTATACCGATTTTTTTAAGTGTTTTTATCGTAAATGGATGCTGTATCTTGTCGATTCTTATTTTTTAATTTTTTAATTTATGTGGTGTATCACATTAATTGATTTGTGTATGTCGAACCATCCCTATGCCTCTGAGATGAAGCCCACTTGATCGTGGTGTATAATCTTTTTAATATGTCGCTTTTTCAGTTCTTTAGTATCTTATTTAGGATTTTTGCATCTGTGTTCATGAGAGATAGTATTCTGTAGGTTTTTTTTGTGTGTGTTATTTTTACCAGGTTTAGGTATCAGAGTAATACTGAACTCATGAAATGAGTTGGGAAGTATTGCTTTCTCTTCGATTCTTTGGAAGAGTTTGAAGAGAATAGGTATTAAATCTTCTTTGAATGTTTGGTAGAATTCACTGGTGAAGACATCTTTTTAATGGGTTTTTAATAATTGTTTCAATTTCCATACTGCTGATTGGTGTATTTAGATTTTCCAGATCTTCTCGAATCAGTCTAGGAAGGTTGTATTTTTCTAAGTACTGGTCCATTTCTTCTAGGTCATTAAATTTGGTGTTATATACTTTTTCATAGTATTCTTGTATGATCCTTTGTATTTCTACAGTATCTGTCGTAATAAGAGCTTTTGTATTTTTTTTTTCGCTTCCTTTAGGAGTCTTAGGTTTTAGAGGGAGGAGATATTTTAAATTGGAGAGTTGAATGACTTAGTATCCCACTGATTATAGTATTGTTGCTAAAGTGTTGTACTTTTAGCCCAGTGTAGACATTTACCTTTTCAGTTCAGAAGTAATTGGCAACATAATCACTTTTATAAAGAAAATAGTACTAGACTAAGAGATTCTGAGAGAAAATGCAGTGGGATGCTTAGATGCATATATTCATGAAATACTGATAGTAATGAAGATAAAATAGAATCACTCAAATTGCCAGCAAGTATTTGAGTCATTGATTGTGTCTGAAAGTAAGGGGATCTAAAATCGAAAAATGATAACAGTTTAGAACTGCAGGGAATATATTATCTTAGTAGGATTTTTATAGGTGTGTAAGATGTGTAGTCAGTGCTCAGATGTGTCATTGCCATCATTAAGTAGGTTTATTAGAGTTGATAGTTATGACTTAAACTGAAAGTTGCAGAAGCATCTCAGTCTTTTTTCATTCACTCATGCATTTATATTGAACACCCTTACAAAACCGTATGCTGGGTTCAGGAGATAATGGTGAGTTAAAATAAAACTATTATTTGTCCTTAAGGAGCTCTTGCTTAATGGAGGAGACACATTTTAATCAATAGTCACACAAATGTAGAATTCCAGCTGTGAATTCCAGAGCTATAGAATGCTTATAACAGAGTGACTCACTTTCCTATGGGTAAATTTCTTTAAGGGAATGATGTTTGACTTGAGAGTTAAGGAGATATTAGGAGTTAATTAGGTGAAGAGGTAGAGAAAAGCACATTTATTCTCTACAGATGGATCAGCCTGTGAGCACTTGGAATGGGCGGGAACATGGCTGGAGTAGAGAGAGGAAGTTTGGTGGCTAGAGGGGACAGTAGGGGGTCATGGTAGGACGTTTTGTTTTCCTAAGAACCAAGGGGAAACTGTCAGGTGGTTTTTTGGGTGAGGGAGAAATCTTGATTAGAGTTGCCTTTTAATATCCATTTGGGCAGAAACAGGATGGATGGAGGGAGATTAGAGGGAGTGTGGGTGGACAAGTTAGGAGTTTTCTGTAGTAGTCCAGCCAGGAGCTGATGGTAGCTTGAACTGGTTTGTGGTTCTTTGTGGACTTAGAAGCTTTGAGAAATATTGAGGAGTTAAAATTGGAGGACTTGGTGATGGATAGAATGAAGAATAAACAACCATGCTTTCTTTGTGATTTAATCTAATTTGGTTTATGTTGCTACATAAACCTTTTATTCAGTGTCCACAGCGACCACTCCGCAGCCTTGCTCCCTTGTAGGGAATGGCATCGATAATCAGAAAGCCATCAGTGATATTGCAGGGTGATAGAGTTTGTATTTAAATTTGGTCCTTGTGTCCTAATGATAATTTTATTTGTAATAATAATCCTTGATTATTGATTGCAACATCTCCTTGAATGTTTTACAGTGCTGTCATAGAACACACCAATCGCGTCATCTTTCTTGAAGATGATGATGTAGCAGCAGTGGTGGACGGCCGTCTTTCTATCCATCGAATTAAACGAACTGCGGGAGATCACCCTGGAAGAGCTGTGCAAACCCTCCAGATGGAACTCCAGCAGATCATGAAGGGTGAAAGTTTTTGTCATGTTATAGCTTGGTGTTCTTAATGGAAAGGATACATTCTACTTACTGCCCTGTTATAGAAATCTGATAACACAATGCTGAGCGAAATCTTCCACATGATTAATGAAGGGATAACCCCAGGAAAAGGGGTGATTCTCTGGAAAAATTATCTGCTAGTTTTACAATAGTTCTCGTTCACACTAATTCGTGGTTTGTTGTTGCTAACATTAAAAAAAGAGATTGATTATTTAAATAGTATTTGATATTTTTAAGATACTTTATAAACATAGTTTCTCTTCTATTCTTTATTCCTCTCTTATTCTCAGTTTTCTCCAGTTTTCTCATATATAAAATGGGGATAATAGGACGCTACCTCATTAGGTTGTTTTGGGGATTAAGAGCGCTCATGTATGTAGGGCCCTTGATCAGTGCCTGACTCACTTAATGAGCCCCGCATAATGTTGGCTGCTATTAACCATTATGATTATTGAGATTACGGTTTTTCTCTTTTCTGGTGGGATTGTGGTGGGAATAAAAGCTAACATTTATCGTGTAACTGCCATATGTCAGGTCTTTGCTATATGGATCCACACTGCAATGCTATGAGGTAGCCGCTTTTCTTATTTTACACATTAAGGAGTTTCCCCAGAGCCACTTAGCTAGTAAAGAATAGAATCTTTATTTGAACCTCGATCTGGCTCCAAAACTTAAGCTTGTCCCACTCCCCTGTTTTGCTATAACTGCATATTTCAAGTGTGAGGTTAATAACTGTGATTTTTCCTTCTTACTCATTTTTCTTCATATAGGATAAAATGCCATATGTGAATATTGTTCTCTATTGCATGACCTTTTGTTTCTTAACCTTTAAGATTATGTTAAAGGAGGTAGACTTTTAGTTTTGTACAGATTTCTTATTCTTTGGCTTATTTTCGTTTTAATGATGTAATTTATATTACTTTAGGCAACTTCAGTTCATTTATGCAGAAGGAAATTTTTGAGCAGCCAGAATCAGTTGTGAACACAATGAGAGGAAGAGTCAACTTTGATGATTATACTGGTAATTACATGTGAATTATTTTATTATTTCGAAGTCTCCTGTGGGGTTGGCATAGACAGCCTGAAAGTTCATTGTCCTTGATAGCCTTATAGAGCAGCTCTGGCCATCAGTGAGGCCAGAAAGTCCTTCATGTATTATTCCACTGATACGAGGTATACTTAGAATAGTCAGATTCATAGAGACAAAAGGTAGATCAGTGGTTACCAGACACCAAGGAGAGGGGAGGGATGGCGAGTTATTATTTAATGGGTATAGAGTTTCATTTTGGGAAGATGAAAAGCTTCTGGAGATGGATGGTGGTGAGATTTGCACAACCGTGTGAATGTGTTCAATGCCACTGACTTGTCAACTTAAAAACAGTTAAAATGTTAATTTTATGTTATGTATATTTCACCATGATTAAGAAAAAGTGAATAATAACTAATGGCTGCAGGGAGCTGAGGGGAGGAGGGAAAGGAGAGTGACTGCTAGTGGATTTGGGGTTTTTTGGGAGGGGTGATGAAAATGTTCTAAAATTAGATGGTGGTAATTCAGAGTTGTACAATACACTAAAAAAACACTGTACATTTTTAAAGGGTGAATTAATGGGATGTGACATCTCAATAAAGTGATTCTAAAAAATATAAAAAATGATTAGAAAATCACATTTGAAAATTATTATCAGTTACAGGTATATTAAGGTGATTTTCCTGAGGGAAAAAAGTCCTTCAGTATACTATTAAAAACATTTAGCTTCTTTTCAGTTCAACAAACCTTTGTTTGGCACCTGCTGTGTACCAGAGACTGTCCTGGGCACTGAATTCTAAGGAGAGACCTGGTCCCCTGGCTGGGAAGCTTACGTATCTGCTTAGCCTGCCTGGGTTTTCTCTCTCAGCTTATATATGAGTAAAGGTCTGAACTTCCCCAGAGGTTTTTCCAGGTGTTTGCCTGATGCCTTATGGGATAACCTGTACTTTCCTGTGTGTTTAAGATAGAGGTGAGAGTGCAGCTCTGCTCTTATTTCTGGAAATTCTCTCTGGATCTGTGTCGCAGGAATGTGTGCACCTTGCTGAGATGTGTTTAAGATCGACAGCCTGTGGTTATAAGATGCTCATAAACTGTACATTGCTAAATTAGGTTTTTGGAACACTTTGTTTATTATGACAAGTTTAATAAACAGTTTAACAAAGAAGCTTTGGGCTAAGCTTCTCAGTGTTAGGAATTAGTTTTCGAGAAATATTAGCAGGTATGCAAAAATCTTTTTCTGAATCTGTGTGTCATAAGTATAATATTAAGTGTCTTCTTCACACCAAGTCCTGCTAATGGATAGAGAATGATTTCTCTGAATAAATGGTGTCTTTAGATCTTGTTCTTTTCCGAGCAGCATCAGACTCCCT